TCTGGGGGGAGCGCTCAGAACACCTTAAGTATGTGCAGTGTTTTTTGAAGCACTGAAATATTACAACTTCCCTGGTTCCCCTCAGGGGCGGCCCTGGGCACCAGCGGGAAGAGGACGCGGCAGTGAGAAAACGGAGGGAAGGTCCCAGGGACTGAGACGCTGAGTTGGGGTATGGGGGCATCTTCCACTCCCGGCCCTGGGATACTCTCCGTAGTTCACTGACAGTAAATCCGTAAGGGCAGCACCTGGGCTATCCGCGCCCAGGCACAATCATTGTAAGGAGACAAAGGTTTTGGAGTGGACTGTGCCATTTCCTTATGGGGGGCAGACCCTCCGTAGACTCTGAACCCCTAGAACTCTGCTTGATGAAAAAGGCCCAGCACCCCAGGAAAGCACAATTGTACTTGATATTTTTATTCGCTTAACAGAAACATTCACTTCTCAGATTTCACTGAAGTGCAATTTACAGAACTTAGAGGTAAATTAACATGTGTAAATTCATATTTTAAGGTTTTGGATTTTTGTTTTACAAATATTACAAATGTACATCGATTGGTACAATATTGCCATTCAATCATGCTTTTCATGTACATACCTTCACTTAAGAAGTACTATTTATTAAGTTCATTTTGCTTAAAAAATGCTGAAAATTAACTGGGTACTGTTGGGAAAGTTTTTTTTTTCCTCCCTTTTTTACTGATGCTTACACGGCAGAGTGATAGAAATCTAGTGCCTGTGTAAAAAGAGGCCCTAGAATCCAGATCATTTGTCTTTATCTTTAGAGGATATTTCATCTCTCCAGCTTTGATTCTGACATGAGTTGAGAACTAGGTATTTCCTTCCCCAGGGATTGATGCTGCCTGCATGTCACTGCAGGAGTGATATTTTTTGGTCTAAATCTCTAGAGCTGTGGCATCAGTGTCCCTTTTGGTGGACAGGCTCCAGGGGGCTGAAGGGACTGGTAGGTCCCTCTGGACAAGAAGTCACAGGAATACGCCAGGACCTCTTTGTTCTGAGCAAAGACCTGACCTCAGGTCAGTGAAGTGGGGCTCAGGGGTGGACACGGGCCTGAGACTTAACGTTCAGTTGTACCAGGAGCCAGGGGTTTAGGATGGGGAGTCAGCCAAGAAAAAAAGGAGGAGGAAGGGCAGGGAGAGGAAATGCGAGAAAGAAGAGGGAGAAGAGGTAGGTTGGGGCCGTGGTGGCGGTGGCCCCATCGCTGTGGTTTTCCAGAGCCGTCCCTCGATGGCTGCTTCCTCTGTCTCATGTTTCCGCTTCCTCATCCCCTCACCCCCCGCCATCCTTTACTTGATCTGATTCAGAATTTGTGGGGGAGTCTTGTCAGGAGCCGGCAGTGTCCCCGCGTTCCCAGAAGCAGCCGTGCTGCAGCTGGGGGTGAGTCAGCACCGCGGACAGCGGCGGATACCTGGCAGCCGTGACGTCCCCACCGCCCTCCCCGCGAGTGCCCGTCACTGTGCCCGGAGGGGCCTCGGAGCGCGGGTCTGTCCCTCCTGAATCACAGAGCTTTCGGTATTTCACCCCACCCCTGACCCCAGCAAGGACTCAGCTGGGACAACCTTTCGACATGCGCGGGGCGGTGGGTCCCTGCTCCTGGATGGGGAGGGCGGTAGGGAAACCAGCAGGGTTCACCGGGCTTTGCTGGGTGTTAACGAGGCTTCTGCCATAAGACGTCACAGCCATCGAATCGTGGTACATAAACAGAGATTTTCCTAACTTTCCTTTGGTCTTATTAGAAAGTGCTATTTATTGTATTTTGGACCAATTCGATGATTTCATTAGAATGGCTTCTTAAAAAATGGGTATAGAAGTTTCTCTAAATTAAAAATGTCTACTTTAAGTTTCAAATGTCTTTTTAAATTTTTTTAAACAAGATATTATAGACACATCTTGAAATTTTTAATCTAAAAATAGGATTTCATCAAAATATTCTGGGCATTGATACACCGTGTATTTACTATTTATGGCTCTCCAGACGTGATAAACACTATACCAAAGAAAAAAAGAAAGAAAGAAAACATTTAACTTTATTGATAAGAACAGAATTCTGTGAAAAAGAATCATGTGGGAAAAATATGAGCTGTGTTTCCTTGAAAAGCAACTCAAGTCAACATTTCTGAGGAACAGCGGACATCAGACACTGTAGTGGCCAGATGGGTACATACAGACTTAGAAAGGAACAAAAAGGAAACAGCAGTTATAGATCTGCAAAATAGACCCACAAATCATTTGCTCAGCAAAAACAAAACCCAAAGATAATCCTAAATCCAGTAACTTGCTATCACACGTTGTGGGATCACGTGCTGGGAGGGGACAAGCGGAGCCACCGACCTCCTGACCCTCTAGGGCTGGGTCCTGCCAGGAGGACCAGGCTGGGAACTGTACGTTGCTTACGTTTTTCTCCCTGATCGGAAGTGGTGTGGGCTTGGGAGGCAGATGGAGGTGCTGCCGACTTTATTTGGATGTTAGCGGGAGGGCAGATTGTGGGAGGGTGGATGCGAACACGGAACAGGGCAAGTGTGAATCACGGAGACACAGGATGGTGGTCGAGGCAGGTTCGGCAGGTGGGGGGCCCTTTTGTTGGCTCCGTCCTGATTTCAGGGTGACTCAAGTGTTTGTTCTCCTCACAGAGACCCAGGTGGGGAGGTGTGCGGGCTCCTCTGGACTCGAATTCCCCTAATTTTTCTAATCAAAAGATGCAGGTGGACCTGCATAAGTGGTGCTGGTGCTCCCGGGGGCCTGGAGCAAAGGGAGATGCACCTCTGGGCTTGGGGCTGACCTGAGCCAAGCCCTCCAGCTACCCTGGTGCCGGGTTCGAGCCCGGGGTCCTCTCCTCTGGCCTCTGGCCGTCCCAGCCCTCCTGTCCCGTCCCCACCTGCCTGTGCCCGGAGCCCGGGGTCCCTCGTCCCTAGCTCCCTCTCTGTTTCCCACTCACTCGTGGCAAAGCTTCAGGCCCTGAAGTGCACTTCTTGCTGCCCTAGGGACTCTTCTCTCATCCATCTCTCCCTCCGAGAAGTGCCCTCCTGACCCGATAGACAAGTCCCCACGCCGGTGCTAATGGGTGCCAGGGCCCTAGGGGTGGCTTTCTCCAGGAGCAGATGTTTATACATGAGGAAGTTTGTGTGGTTCTGGAGAGCCAGTGCCTCGAACCCTGTGGGGTGCTCATCGTGGGTGGGTGGGCGCCTTCCAAGCCCCTAGAACCAGGTCCCGTGGGCAGTGCCCTCTGTGCCCCTTTGTGGGTCGGCTCCCCCACATCTTCCCTGCCGTCTGCTCCCTGTAGTAGGAGCTCGTTCATACAAAGCATGGACCACGTCTCCAAGCAACAGCTCAGAGTGCTGTGAGCTGAGCTTCTGGTCACAGATTCCAGCCAGGACTGGACTGTGCCTCCTGCTTTCAGAGCAGGGCTCCAGAGACGGGGCTCAGAGTGTCTGAGTCACAACCAGCCCTGAGGCCTCTGGTTCTCTGAGCTTTGTCCTGATGCCATGTCAAATGATCAGACACTAACATAAACTGGCCTTTTGATCCTAGCTTTTGTACTGAATTAAGATTTTATTTCCTCAATTTGTATGAAAGATTAATACGAGTCATCTATTTGCAAAACCATTTTCATCTCTCTTGAAACTTTATGCTGGAGAAGTTGTCAAATACCCGGTCCGTTTTCTCTTATAAAAGAACTTGAGTTAGTTTGACTTTATATTAAATCCCAGGAAAAGTTTCTCTCTCCATACTTAGTATCTCTACTTCTTGTTCTCTTGTGACAATACCTACAACTCACTTTGTTTTGCTTTTGCCCCGTTGTTATGAGAGCTTTGTGATGCTGCACTTGCCTTTCTTGGGTTAAGTGAGGTGCCCGGGCTGCTACAGAGCTTTGCTATTTATATTCTGGACGATGAATCTCAGATGCGGATCTTTTAGATGGAGGAACGAGAGGCTGGTTAACCGGCATGATGGAGCCAGAAATGAGTCCTCGGCGGTGAAACAATTCAAGGCATATGATGACTCGAGATGTCACGGGGGTGCCACCCTCCTGCGTGGACAGGGGGTCAGGACCCCGCCCCTCACTCAACCCCGGACGCCCCATGTGCTCGGGGGAACCTAAAGGGGGCAGAATTCTGCCTCTTGCACTTCGGCAGCTGTTTTAAGTGAATTTTTTTATTGTTCAGGATGGAGATCAGAGAACCGAGATGAGAGAGCTGGAGGCCCCTCAGGCCTAAGGGGACAGTTCTGTGAGTTTCTGTGCTTGCTTTCTGATAAAACTCAGTTAAAAAGGCAGGACTTGGTCTGGGACTTGGTTTCCTGATTGATTCCCTGGGTAGGGGGGACCCTATCAGCTCAGACCTTGTCCAGGTGGTCGGGTCGTCATCTGCCAGGGAAGCAGCTGCGTCAAGCCATGGGCGTGGGGCCCGGGGCTGCGCATCTGGGACCCTCGTCACCAGGACGTGTAGCGGTGGTTTCTTCATGCCCTAAATCTTGGCCCCCGGGTGCTTTGGAAACTGTTCCTTTGCTCTCTGCAAGAATGGTCTCACTCTCTGGTCCTCTTTTAGGGGTTCTTTAATATCATGTGTCTCAAATCATTTTGAAAGGAGGTGGAGTGAAAAAAATAGGAATGAACATGATAGCTCATCCTTACTGGCTTCTTTGGGGAGGAGCCCATGGCTTTTCTCTTCACTTGTGGCTTATCCTGAAGTCTCACACACGCTGTGCTCGTGGGAACCCCTCGCTCAGGAGGTGCGTGGCGGGGAGGGAAGCGTCGGGGATGGGCCTGGTTGGTTCTCACCGGCCAAGCCTCGGCACTGCTTTTCAAGGCATCCACTCAGACCCTCTGGCCCAAATGGAAATTCCCTTGGACACAAGGAGGAGCGAGAGCTGTTTGTGCGTAGGCAGGTGTGGTGGGCGATCTCGGTCCTGGCATCTTGGGAGCAGCCGTCGGAGAAGCAGCATGTCCCTAACGCAAGGCTAGTTGCTCATCTGAGCTTCAGACACGCGTGTTTCTGAACACCAAAGGAAAACGAATGCACAGCACAGATCAGCACCGTCAGGGCACGCCACACCCACACACGGCTTCGCCCGCTGCGCAGGGCCGGCCCGGGGCCTCATAGCATTAGTAGGAACTGGTCTTGCTCCGGCGGCTTCCTCACCCAGGTGCCCAGGCCGGCCTTCTGGAATGCTCTGAACAGCTGCTGTTTGACAGCCTGGTAGGTACGTGCCCCCAGCTTGGCCTCACAGTACATGGACGGCGTGTCTCCGTGGCTTGGGATCCGTGTGCTCAGCTGTGGGGCAGAACGAGAGAGGACGGGTGAGCCCTCGCCGGGAACGGGCCCCGACCAGCAGGACCGCTCAAGCCTGGCAAGCAGGCACTGGCCTGCCGGTCACTTTTCCTTCTCTCTTCCTTTAAACAGAAAAGCAGCGAGATCATCACGTGGGCTTGGAGTTTGCCAAGAGGGTGGATCTCAGGTTAAGTCCTCTCACCACAGGGATGATGGGAGGGGCTGCGTGAGTCAATTAGTGCAATTCTGGGGTCATTTCACAACGTATCAAAATATCCAGTGGTGCCCCTTAAATATATACACTGTTCATATGTCAATTATGCCTCAGTAACAAAGAAAAATATCTATTCTCTCTAATTTGATCTATTGATAAATAAAATTTCATATAAAATTCCAAAAAAAAAAGAGTAACAGTAGAAATTAGGGAGGCTTTGCTTCACAGGAAGTGTGAGTGATTAATGAAAAAAATAAACACAGAACTTGTCTGCTATTAACAGCACAAGCTGTGCATAATTTTTTTCTTTTTCTAGGAGGATTAGGGGCTCAAATCGGCGTGGGTGGTGAGGCCGAGGGGGCCGTGGGAATGAAGGCAGCGTCCCAGGCGGAGTCGCCTGCTAGCCCACCGGGAGGACCGGGACTGGCCCCCGTGTCCAGCGGGGCAGGATCCGGCCTGGCTTCACCACCCATGCGCCAGGGTCGGGGGGTGTGGTGAGCGGGGGAAGTGGTCGGTGGGGGGCGGCACCGGCTACTGGCCGGCCAGTCCGTCCCTGACGCTCACAGCCGTTTAATTGGGGCAACACCTAACTTTTCTGGGCATCCATTTCCTTCTGTCTGGACTGGAATGACATGGACTCTGAAGTTTCTATGGACTTTCTCACGGGCTGCACTGGCCACAGCTGTTCACCAGTGAGCCCCTTTCCACCTATTTCTGGGGCCACAGCATGAGACCCTGCTGCAGGTCAGGGGCCCCACTAGGAGGGGCCACACCTGGGGTTGGCGGGGGGCGGGCAGGGACACGGGGGCTGGTTTGCGTGTCCCGTGTCACCCTGGCTCTGCCCAAGCGGCCGCTCCCTGGGCCCCACCCATGTCCAGCCCCACTGACCTTGCCGTAGAGCCGCGCCCACCGGGCCGAGAGCCTGTGCTTGCAGAGCCTGGACGAGCGGCCGCAGCTCCGCTTCCCGGTGGTGGCGTCGATGACCTCCACGTCCGCCGTGCCCACCACCCAGTTCACGCTGAAGTGGGGCGACTTCCCAGGCTGCCGTGCCTCGGCCTGACTCACTCCTGCCGGGAGAGACGGGGCGCCGGGCGTGAGCGCTGCTGGCCGGGCAGGCGGGAAACGGCTCCCACGCTGCTGGGACGGGGTGGACGGCTGGCCCGAGCGCCATCGCTGGGGCTTGGATTTGAAGGATTTTAAATGCAAGGCTGTCCTGTAATAACACTCTGCCCACGTTTCCCCCTTTCTCTGGATGTTCGTCGCGTGGACTGGTGAACAGATGGGGCCGCATAAAGGCCAGCTGAGAGTGTGCGTTTACGGGGCATCTGCTGCCTGCCCGCTCCCCACAGGGCAGATGCCAGGGTCACAGTCCGGCTGACGAGATACGAAATGGAGTGAAAACAAGTGAGCTCTGAGGGTGCAAGGCGCCGGCCCGGCAGGGTGACTGGAGCCCAGCGGGGACTGGAAACTGGGCCCTGGTTTGAATTTCAGGACCGCAGAGCGTTAAACCGGGAGTGGGTCTTTCTGAGTCCTGGGGCCGCCGAGGATGCTAAACCATGCAGGATGGTGGCCTGGGAGGAGGGGCACTGACCCCGGGGCCTCGGCCACGTGCCCTCCATGCCCCCCGACTCCCCGCGCAGCTGACGGGCTGGCTCCACCCCCAACCCCGGCTCCCACTGGGGTCGCGCAGAGAAGGACCTTGGTCTCATGTGTGTTCACGGCCACAGTGCTGCGGGATGTTCAGCCTGGACCCCCCCCACCCCTCCCCCGCTCCTCCTGATCCCTTCCCTGGATCCAGCCCCCTGAGCAGCTGCTCCCATATCCACACTCCGCCCCTTCCCAGCCTCCTGTTCCCTAGTGGACAGACTGGATGGCAGCATGGGGCCTCTCAGGGCCCTGGGTGGGTGGGCCCAGGGGCCCCAGCAGCATCTCACGGGGAAGCAGAGCCTGGTGCTGGGAAGCAAGTGGCAACCCAAGGAGCTGGACACATGGAAAAGTTGTCACCTGACTCATCAACATAGATGGAAATTAAATTTAACGTAGACGCCCAAGAACTGGACATTTGCTTTTAGCTCCACACCGGGAATTCTAGGTCTCTGGGGGCCACTGCAGAGCTGTTGCTGCTGCTCAACCACAGGAAGTCATTAATCTTCAACATTTTAAGAAAGAACAGGAGAAAGAAGAAAAGGGAAAGTGAAAGAAAGACATTGAAACCGGGCCCCAAGTGATATTTTATCAGAATTACTGAAATTATTGACCGTTTAGAAAATGACTGTGGTTTCATAGACATTGAATTTGAGGCAAGCCTTCCCATCCCTTACCTGAGGATGGTGAGTCAGGACTGAGCCCCTTGGAGACGGGCGTGGGTCTCAGGCTCCCATCCCCAGCTCCTATGAGGTGGATGTCACCACCTCTTCAGCTGGTCTTGTTTGTGTTGTTCATTCTTGTGTGTTTAAGAAACTGTGCCATTGCCACGGGTCACAGTGGGTGTGTCGGGAGAACTTGGCCTTCTGGTTAAACGGGGTTCAAATCCTTGCTCCATGTTGATAAATAGAGCATCTTCACACTTAAATTCCTGTGAGTCTATTTCCACATTTATAAATGGAGGTGACAGCAGCTGTTGTGGTTGGTGTGACAGGGTGTGTGCCTCAACTTGACGTTGACGGGGGTGGCTGCTGGGTTTAGTTAGGTCCCTTCCCTGAATGGTGGAGCCGTTCTCTGGGGGGGACTTGTGGAGGGTGAGTAGCTGCACCGTGCAGATCAGGCCTCTCTGGGCACCCACCCCCCAGGTGAACCACCCACAGGCTCTACGTGGCCATCACCTGCCGGGCTCAGGCCGTAGGGCGCCACAGCCATGGGCACAGCTTTGGGTCAGATCCGAAGGCACCGTTCATGGCGAGGACGGGGGTGAGGGAACCCCCTCCGCGACAAGTCGGCCCGAGTCACGGGAAGGGAAGGTGGGGCAGTGGTCCTGGATGGGCACACGACCCCTGCTCCCATGGCCTCGCTGTAGTTTGCTGAGTCCCCTCCCTGGACGCTGGGAGCCCCTGGAATCTGACGTGGTCCCCGGATTTGGCAGAGGGCCTTAGATTTTAGGAACAGGTTCTGGTGTGTAAAGAAACCTGGGGCATAGCCACTGAGCCCTGGGTGGTCCCAGCCCCACTGGGAGCATCCTCTTCCGCCCTGTCTGAGCTTTGGGGTCCGTGATGCTGCCCTTGTCTGGTGACGCTCGTGGGAGGGTTGAGGGAGTGGGGAGGTGTGCTCTCTTGGGGGCTGGCCTGGCTGAGAGCTGTCCCCGCGAGTTCCCGCCACCCCGTGGGCACCATCGTTGCCCCTGGTTTTCTGAGAACAACCTTAGGGTCCTGGGAGTAACCCTTAGGCCTGACTCTTACCACAACCGTTGACTGGCTCTTTGACCTTCTCTCTCCTCTTCCGGGGGATCTGGTCTAAGCCCCGGACTGGCCAATTGCTGTGGGTCTGCACATGCCCACCACCCAGGGCCCCCCACCGCAGATCACGGCTTGCAGCCCCTTCAGAGACAAGGCACCGCCCAGGAGGGAGCCGCGGTGGATTACCGGGTTAATTACGGGGGTCACAGCGGGTGGGGCTACCTCCCCAATGCCCCCTCCCGCTGAGCTGAGAGGTCAGCTGCTGCCAGAGGGGTTCACGGCTGTGTGACTTCTGGTCCTCACGACCCCAGGCTGGCCCTGGCGGCCTGGGGGCAGCATCCCCCTCCCAGGTTTGGTGCTGGGGGAACGTTCAGGAATTTGCTTCTGGATCAGGTGGGGGCGACCTATGGCCCTGGGTCCCCCCTGCCCTGTTGGACACGTGTGTTTATTGCCTGGATTTCTCTGGGCACCGCAGACACTGCCCTGAAAGTGACACTGTGATGTCTGAGGGGCTCATCCTGTTACACCTTCACTCTGGAACGTCGTCCGGAGATGCTCCGCACCCGGCTGACCTTTCAAGTATCCGATCTCTGCAGTTCTGCTCTCTGAGTCTTAAATGACCACGGGCCAGACTGGGAGAGCCTGCCCTGGGGGCCTCAGGGCCTGTGGATGGAGGGGTGTGTGCGTTTGAGGACCTGTTCTTACCGCTGAGGAGGGGCCGGTTGTGCCGGTACGAGGCAGGCAGCTGGCCGATGTCCTCGGTCCTGTGGCTCATGACCCGGGAGAGGTGGCCGGTGTGGTGCAGGCTCCCCACCACGATGCTGTGCAGGTACACGGGCTCGATGAAGTGGCAGAGCAGCGCACCCTGCAGCCCCAGCACGTTCCACCTGGGGGGGAGAGGGGCGTCAGCGCCCTGGCTCACTGGCCTCACCTGGGGGAGGATGGGGGGCCTTTCTGCCCCGTTGTCCCCGAGGCGTCACTGTCCCCATCGTGCAGCTGGCGGTGGGGGGTGGGGAGAGCTGGCCTGGGGCTCGCAGCACACTGGACCGGGCATGGCTTTGGCCTCGTGACCCCTGGTGACCCCGAGCCCCTCTCTGCCGTCGGGGGGACGGGTGTCGGTGGGTCTGCGTGCGAATAAACGTGGATCCTTTTCCTGGAAAATGAGTTGTTGGGTGAAGGGGAAGCTACATATTCTCTCAGGGACTTAAAGTCAGATTTAAAAAATGACCCTCTGGGCTTCCCTGGTGGTGCAGTGGTTGGGAGACCACCTGCCGATGCAGGGGACGCGGGTTCGTGCCCCGGTCCGGGGGGATCCCGCGTGCCGCGGAGCAGCTGGGCCCGTGAGCCATGGCCGCTGGGCCTGCGCGTCTGGAGCCTGTGCTCCACGACGGGAGAGGCCACGGCAGTGATAGGCCCGTGTACCGCAAAAAAAAAAAAAATAAAAAAGACCCTCTGTCTCCAAAGTGGATCGCAATTTTTCTTTATGTTCCCTGGGAAATATCAGAAATTGAATTGACTGCAGTTTAGGGGAAAATACTCTCCCTCCCCACCCCTTTGTCAAACTCAGCAGTGGGCGGGACCTGCTGTGGTGACATGAACGACCTTGTTTGGCTCTGGGGGTGATTTGACTTCAGGAGCCCCGATCAGAGGACGAGGCCGTGGTCCTTGACATAAATGAGGCTCTGGGTGAGTGTTTGCTTCTGCCAGCAAAGGTGACAGGAGCCTCGTCAGACATTTCCCTGTAAATTTGAGTGGAACAACTTTCCGTGTATCTGTTATTTAAGGCAACATTTTGTGGTTTCCACATGCTTAAAATCCAGCCTCCATCAGCACAAGCATTATGCAGTTAATTTCTTACATCATTATTCTTTTCATTAATTAACATCTCTCCACGGTTAGAGCAATTACTGTGGTGCTTCCATGCCGTACATTTCCTTTCATGATTAATAAGGAGTCATTCTATTTCCCTTTCCCGAAGCAGTCAATTAACACAGAATTCTTTCCATTAATTACCGAGTGCTCAAACCAGCAGGCCTACCTAGAGAGCAGTCTGCTCTGAGAACCTGTGACACCAATTGCCTTAAAAAATTCTCTTTAAATTTTATTCCAAAAACACAAGCAATTTAGCTGGCGATATTAATTTGCCTCAGAAGCACTGAGGTGAGTGAGAAACATCTTCTAATCTCATGCAAGAAGAGGCAGCCATCTGGCTGGCGAGGATTGAGGAACGGCTCCCCCTCCGTTAAGTGTGGGTCATTAAAGTAATGTGCTCACCCACATAAAACTCAAGTGGAATATAAAAGGTAATATTTATATACAAACAGTTTAGTCCTACAATTTAAACAGTCATTGGTTTTATGAAACATTTACTTTAGTCTATCAGATTTGCATAACTTCACTTAAAAAAATAATTGTGGTCATTTCTGTAAGTCACATCCTGTCTCTCAGAAAGGAATGGAGAATTGCCCTTGGGATCTAATGTGTGATCTTCCCAAAGAGTAAGTGTCCAAAAGTGTTGAAGGGGAGCACATTTCTGGAGGCATGAGAAGCGAGGGAATGGACATTCCCCATCGATAACAAAGCCCTTTCTCTAATGATGAGATGAGTATTACAGAGGGGACATTCCTGTGCTTCCGGCTGTCCATGCACTGGCTTTGAGCAAAACTTCTGGAACGCATCTGAATGGCTCTGACTCTGCAGGAAAGTCTAAAGACAAACAAATTCTATATCTGGTCTCCTCATAATAACCTTTACAATAAAGAGACAATCAGCCTTCTCCTTGCCTGGCTGTACGAGTTTAACTTATTCAGCCAACACCATCAATAAAACCAAATGTCGCCCTGAATACAAACTGGAGAGTTTTCAGCATTCCGGATTGAACGGAAAAGTGCCTCTCCTTTTATACAAACAGCTGACATGACTGCAGTGTTGACAGAGAAAAAAGTCCCAGGTCTAGTTTTCAATATAGATAATCCCTAAATAAATATATTTTTTCTGTTTGTCAATCACTGAAATACCAAAGATAAGTGAGGGAGAGATCTTGGAAAAAGGCTGTTTTCTTTAACTGAGAGACAATCTCTGTACCTCGAGGACTGACAGGGACTGTTCCAGGATGGGCCCCACCCAAGACCTGCTGGGCCTGTGCGCCCGGGGCATGAGACCGATAACCGCGGGCATGGGTGCAGGGACTGTGGGTGGTCGGGGTCCCTGTCTGCCGTTTTCACCCCCGAGGCATGGCCGCCGGGAGGAGGTACGGGTCCAAAATGACAGTGAGGTCTGAACATCACCAAATTCATCCTTACTTCACTTCCCTCCTTGTCCGTGGGCAGGTTTGCTCGTGACCTGGAGGCACAGTCACACCCACTGAGAAAGGTCACGGTGCAGCTGGGTGACTCAGGCCGAGGCACAGCTGTGAGTACAACGCCATGCACCCTGGGCTCGGCTGGGGGGCTTTGGGTGCCTCCTGCTCCTAGGACTCCCAAGGCTGGGATGGAACTGGCCTGGGTGCAGCGGGCATCAGCGTTCCCAGCGTGCCAGGCAGTTCCATTGTGAGCCGGGTGATGCACAAGTCAGCCTACCGGGTCCAGGCGACCTCCGTGTCTTTTGTTGTCACTTAGCCCCTCTTCTGCTTTCCCTCAATGTTCATGATGTCTCCTGGTCCCCTAATTTCTAGTTTGTTTTGCAGCTTCTCAGCCCTTTGCAGTGTCCTGGGGGCTGGACAAGGGATGGCTGCTACCTCAGATCTGTGTCCCTGTCTCAGCATTGTTGCAGGAGTAGCAGAGGCAGCAGCTGTGGGAGTGTCATCACTGTTACCACGCTTATGTTGGACAAATATTCCTGAGTTTATCACTCACTACCTTTGAGACAGGAGGGAGAGGGGCAGGGCACAACTTTTAAAAGAATGACATAGCCCAAGGACATGACATAAACTGATTAGAACCAAATGGGTCCAAGATGGCAGACAAGTCGACTTCCACTAGACCTTGAGCCTCAGTATATGCTCACCGTAACACATCAGCAAGCTAAATGACACACCCACAGGCGCCAGGACAGTTCCAACGCCAGACCACAAGGGTCAAAAAGTGGGTGGTGGCCCAATTTTGGGAAATCCCCGCCCCTTCTCCAAAATAGCTGGAATACTCCTCCCACTCATTAGCCTATGAAATTACCCACCCCTGTAGAAACTGACAACCCCATACCCTGGTGCCTTTCTCACCTTCTGAGATGGCCCACACTCTGTGGAGTGTGTTTCTCTCTAAATAAACCCACTTGTTACCTATCACTTTGTCTATCACTGAATGCTTTCTGTGATGAGACTTCAAGAACCTGAGCTTCGTTAAATCCTGAAACCAGGTGTGTGATCTCGGTTAAAAGACTATGGGTTTTGGTGAGGTTCGAGTCCCAGTCTGAGATACATGGTTGTACCTTCACCACTGGAGATGGGGTGAACTTTCCCCTAAAGGCTGCAGTAAGGTGACCACGGTCTTCTGTAAAGGAAGAGCAGTGGTTATTACACCAAGCTGGGAACATTTGGGGCTGGGCGTTTAGTAAGAGCAGTGGTTTTAAAATGACCTATATTTGGAGATTGGAAGCATGAACACATTCCCTCCTGATTTCAGCAGAGCTGTAGGTAACACCATCCGGCTGCCAGGTGGGCTGGGCGCAGAGCCAGGTCCCCACTCTCAGAGGAGGGGACTCTTGCAGCCTGAGATCTCAGTGCGGGGAGTCAGATGGGGCCTCGGTTCCCAGAGAGCATCCGTAATTCTTGACAGTTCATTTTTATGGAGAAAGTTTTAATCCGTTCATTTAAAAACACATTGCAATCGATAATCAAGCTCTGGTGCTTAAAATTAGAAACCATATCTAAGGAACATTAGTTCCAGAAGATTTAGAGTTTTATATGCTACTTGCCTCTCGAGTCTTAGAGCAAAAACCCCTCCCTGGTTCGCCTGTCCTTTCAGGTGGCCGGTGTTTCTGTTAGTGACTGTTCAGATCGGCTTCTTACGTCCAGAAAGCCAGGCCACGTCCATGGGAACACGGGCCTCACGGTGACACTTGTCATCTGTCCTGGGCTCACAGAGGCGCAGGGCTTGGTCTGTTTTATCTCTGAGCTGCAGGAAAATCCAACCCTTTGTTGCGCCTCCAACCTTAACTCGTGGGTTGCAGGTCAAGTTTCCTGGACCTGGTGAAACAACCCACATTCTGCAGTTTGCCTGGGTCTGCACCAGCCTGGCATGAGCAGTGGCATTTTAGGAATAGATTTCACTCTGACTTTGGTTCTGTCATTTTGCAAAGACCACATGAGTTGAGCCAAGTGAGTGGTGTCTCCTACCTGGTTATATTGGTTTCCCGGGGCAGGGGGTGAGGTGGGTGGGGAAGCGCTTAAAACATCGGAAATTTACTCATGGTCCTGGAGGCAGAGGTCTTAGGTGAAGGTGTGGCAGCCCGGGGGCACCGGGGAGACCCCACCCACGGGCCTCACTCACCTGGCGCTCAGAGGTTTGTGGATGCGTCCCTCTGGGCCCCGCCTTTGTCTCTGTGGCCTCCCCTGTGCACCTGCTCTGGGCGTCTGTCCCCAGGTCCCCAAGGCCTCACTCACGAGGATACACTAGCTGCACTTAGAGGCCACCTTCTCTCAGCATCCTTGGCTTAATCCTGCCTGGTAAGGCCACACTCACGGGTTTAGGGTCTGGGGACAAGGATATGTTTGGAGGCCACTGTTGGGCCCATGCCGCCTGCTCTGGGGCAGTAGGAGATCCCACTGCTTCTGTTTACCCCATACCCTGGGCTCCGTAACCCCACTCTGGGGAGTATGTCCTAAGTCTGTACTCAGAGATTTGGAAAAACGCTTCGGCACAGAGATATTTCTGGAAACGTGATGCACGGAGCAACCACTTGTGAGCACCCAGGGATCCAGCAGCAGGGAGGTGCCCGCAGCCTTACACGTGGATTCAATGCCCGTGACTTTGAAAGGAGCTTTGAAATCATAGTGTTCAGTGATGGACTGTAAGCAAACTGCCCGAAACAGCAAAATCCTGATGACAGGAAAAAGCCTGTGTTTAGGAAAAAGGTTAAGGCGTTTATAGCCAAGGTGCCTGCTGTTTTCGGTGACGGCTGGTGCCTGCTGTTTTCGGTGACGGCTGGTCGTCTTTTTCACTTTTCAAGTCTCCTAATGTTTCTTACTGTCGCTTATGTTTTAATGGGGGGTGAGGGGAACTTCAGATGCGTGATGTCGCTCCCTGTGGGCTGTTTCCACCAGTCGGTGTGACTGGATGGTCCCATCACACTTTCCCTTTATCTGGAGGCATGAGAACGTGTAGCCTTAGGTGCATTTAGGATCTTGTGGCCAGAGTCTCAGGTTTGGTTCTGTTTTGGATGGAAGCCATTCACCCAAGGGAGAGGTATCCACTCTCCCTCGAGCAGTGGAACCAGCTTTTATCTGCAAGATAGTATTTTGCTCCAGGACTTTAACTAAAATTCCTTTTCGGCCAAAAATCTGACTTTCAAAAGACTTTCATGGCCCAAGAATTTTCCTGGGAATTCCAACGACTCTGTTCCAAAGAGAAGACATTAGATTTCGTTTTCTGCTATGTCAGCATCAAAATTATTTTTAAAGGGAAAAAACGTAGCTGGTGTATCCCCACTTCCGGCCTCGGGTGTTTTTTTCCATGAAGGGGGAGAAAGCTCTCTCTGCGGCTGGGGTGTCCTGCCCACATCCAGTCTGTGGTGCTGGGCATCTTGGCTTTGGTGCTGGTCCGTCAGACTCTCCATCCTCCTGGTGACGCCCCGGGTGTGCTTCCACACGATGCTGAGCGTGGTGTACCCCCAGGAGCCTGGGGACCTGCATGCGCTTGCAGACTCTGTCGGCTGTGCGCCCGGTTTAGGGAGGGGGGCAGCCTGGGCCTGGTTCCCACGATCTTTGGAGTGAGTTTGATGATAATGACATTCACATAACGCAGCCCTTTTCCCTGGGAGGCCACTCTGACCACTGGACTCGTGGGAACGTTGCACAGAGCTTCCGTCCATAGGGTCGACCCCTTCTACATTCTTGGGTCCTGGGCCAGGTCTGACCCAGCCGCTCAGCCTGTGTGAGTCCTGCCCACTGTCGAGCATGGTCAGGGGCCACCCCTCCACTGCCCCGTCCACGAAAACCTCGCCCCGACTCCGCGTTTCTGAGCACGGCCGTCATCACGAAGGAAACCCCACGCCTGCCCCATCTCCGCTCCAGTCCAGCCTCACTCGGCCCCCTGCAGAGCTGGATGTCTCTGCTCCCACCTCCCGTTGGGCGATAGATGGGTACCCACCTGCAGAGACGGGACCCTAACCTGCGCATGCACCCCTCACGGTGGCAGCAGCGATCCCCTGAGGGTCAGACCTTAGACGCAGAAGCAGATGGTGGGGGTGAATAGGATTCCAGTGCAGGACATGGGGTGCAGGGGGAGGGGAGGTCGAGGAGGGGGGAGGGCATCACGGGGGTTGCAGGGAGAGAGGCAGAGATGGTGGGCTTGTTCAGGGAGGAAGGTGGGGCAGGGGAGACAGAGAGACAGAGACAGAGAGACAGAGACAGAGACAGAGGAGAGTGAGGAGAATGTTCAGGGAACACCTGAGGAAAGTCCTGGGAAGGTGGGCTGGGCTCCCAGGGGACTGAGTGGGGAGAGGGGACCTGGTACCATGCCCCCCAGGCCCCTCCTGCCCCATTGTGTTCCCCACCGTCTGGGCACCGCTCACCTGGCCACCAGATTTGGGGACTAGACAGATGACTGGCAGGGCTACCCATGAGCTGCATCAACTCCTGGATGAATGTGGGGCGGCCCCCCACCTGCCCAGAGCCACGGGCATCACAATGTCCCCAGCATGTCCCCCCTCAAAAGCAGTTAGAACCCTCCTCAGCCCAGGGACATGACGTGGACTGTGCTTTCTAAGTAGACTTTGTTAAACAGAGCATCACTGGTGGGAATGAAACCAGGGGGCCTATGGGCTCCTGGGCACGAAAGCCTTTCTGTCCCCCATTTCTTGTTTCTAGGGAACAGACTGCAGCCTCCGTGACCTTCCCTGGGTGCCAAAGGGCAATTCGAACAGTTGCTAATCAAGAGAGGAGTAGCCAAGAAACCACCTGAGGTGAGATTAAAGGGGCCAGAGAAGCCCATCAAGGTTAGGAAACCCGACCCCCTAAGACCCTGCACATGGCCTGATCTCATCAGCAACCCCCCCTTGAAGGCTTGTTATAAACCCCTCATCAAATCCTCCCGGGTGGGGACACATAGTTTTCCGAGGTAGGAGCCTGCCGTGTCCCTCTTTGCCTGGCAAAGCAATAAAGCTGTCCTTTTCTACTTCACCTAAAAGTCTGTCTCCGAGATTCGATTCAGCACCGGTGCAGAGGTGCCGCGCTTTCAGCATCAGGACTGTTGACGTCCCACATCACCCGGGCTTTGTAGCGAGTTTAATTCTCTGTCAACTGACATTTAAGATCCTAGAGACAGTGAAACTTAACTTCTGTATCATTCATTCACTTCATTTGCTAAGGAGTCAGAATTAATTTAGAGACCCAACGCGATCCTGGGAGAGCAAGAGAATTTCCGTTAAGGTGGAAACTGCTGCTTCTCCCCACTTCATGAATAGATGAAAACATTACAAAGGAGGGTACGTTTCCTTCTGAAAGATGGGCTAGTTGACGACTACAGGCAGCTCTCTTTGATGCAGAAATCAGTGCTTTGCTGTATTGCAGTCAGGCGGGGGGCAGTCACTCCAGGGGAGTAAAAGGCCTTATTTCTCCTGTAGCCGTTTGGTAATTTCCCTCGAGATTTTGGATCCCTGTTTGCCAGGGCTGAGGTTTTACCTGCCCCGTAGCCTAGGGAGCCTCACAGAGGCACCGAGTGCACCTGGGCCACGGCCCCTCCGCATGCAGGCTCGGGTCAGGGTTGGGGTCGGGGCTGGGGTCCCTGCTGCCTGGCTCCCGAGTCCCTGGGTGTCTGCCTCTCCTCGGCCCCGCCTGCCTCTCTGACAGCTCTGTCCGGCTTTCCAGGGAGGCTGTGATGGTACAGAAGGCGCCTGGCCAGTGCACAACTGTGTGTGGGGCAGCGGGCAGCCACGTCCCGTGGCGGGTGTGGAGTTCAGGGCCGACAGGGCAGAGTCCGGGACCTTGGAGTGCACCTCAGCACCCGGCCAGGCCCCGCTCTGGGACCACAGTCCCTGTCCCTCCCCCCGTCAAACGCACACCCGGGCGGCACTCGCGCAGAGGACAGAGGGGCCGTTACCTGGCGATCTTGTCCGTGCAGGACATGGTGACCAGCTGCTCGCCCAGCAGGACGCCGTCCCACGTCTGCACGTCTGGGCCACGCACAGGCACTGTCCCCTCCCCGGACTCGATCTTCGTGCGCAGGTGCCCCCGGGACTTCCTGGCCGGGTACTTGCTGCTGCTCACTAGGGGACGAGAGCTGCGTGAGACACGGGGGATGGGGACACGGTGGGGGGGACACAGGGTGGTCACGGTGGGGCTCCGAGGGGAGGGGAAGAAGAGGGGAGCTCATTGGGAAGCAGCTCCAGTGACCCCGGTGCCACCGCCCATGTTCAGGATGAGGAAGCAGCTTTGGAGGTAAGTGCTGGGCAGACGGACTTGTACAGACATGGGAGGAACTGGGGCACAGCAAACCCTCTGGTCCAGGCTCAGCCGGCGTCACAGCAAAAGGCTGGACAGTGACCATCGGAGGCTCTGCAGCCGTTTGGTCTCGGTCTGACCACTGGACCTGCGGCCCAGCTCTCAGCACAGACGGGCCAGGGAAGGAGCTGCCTTTACAGACACCGACTTTTGGGTTCCACGTCACCTTCATGTGTCAGGAGATGCTCTTCTCACCCTTTCCAGCCATTAACACATGTAAAAACCATGCTTAGTTCTCAGGCGGCTGGTGGGATCCGGCCCAATTGCTGGACTGCAAACCTCGTCTAGATTTTAGTCCTGGCTCTATGGTTTCCTAGCTGCGTAGCCTTGGAAAAGCTACTTAAAACTACTGTGATACAGTTAGTTCGTCTGAAAATGGGGTAGTGGTGGTGCCTCCCTCCTAGGCTAAGGGACTAAATGAGATGGGACCTGGGACCCCAGAGCTGCTGCCGACAGTCCCGGTGAGGGGGCGTCCGCTACATCCCAAGACCGGCCCATGGCAGGGGGCCTCAATGCCCTGTTACTGCTCTCCTGCCTTTGCTTTCCAGAGTCACCTCCACATCCATATACACCAGTTATCTGAAGAACTAGCTTGAACGAGAGGAAAATTAAATTTATTATTTTTTTCTTTTTTAAAAAAAGGTTCTGTACATTTAATCAGGATTATAATGTATTATAGAAATGCTTAACTGCTTTGTGTACAAATTATATATGAACTACCATAGTGACACCAACATTGACACACACGACGGTGGGATGAACGCTAAATGCCTTCTTTAAAAGGTTTCTATGTAAGTTTTAGAATTTGTGAAAATGTGTTTCTCCTTCATTTATCTGCACTGGAGTGAGGGTAAATTATTAATATAAATTATTACCCAAATAATTAATAACATTTGGGTTTATATGGGCACCTTCTCTTACAGATCTTGAAGTAATTTCCAGTATATTTTCTCATGCTTTCTAAGAACTGGAGTTCCTTTACTATGTATTCATACTGCCTAGAGGCCATCTCTTGGGAAGAAAATTGCTGTACTCTGTGGAGAAAGTAAATTTTTGAGAGGTTTTAGATTGCTTATTGACCATACTACTAACCAGGTCCTTGATGAGATCCAATTTGGACTGGCCTGTGAGTCGTCTATGGAAGGAAGAACCAAGCTGAGAGACTGAGCCTGGGGGAGGGAGGGGCACAGCCAAGGGATGCCCAGCCCTCCCCCTAGGTAGAGCCTGAATCTCTTCTTTGCAGACTTAAATGGCACTAGGAATCGGATGACAATGCTGCTGCTGCTGCTGGTGATGATGGTGATGATGGTGATGATGATAATGATGGTGACGATGGTGATGATGGTGATGATGGTGATGCTGCTGCTGCTGATGGTGATGATAACAATGGTGATGATGGTGATGATGATGGTGAYGATGGTGATGATGGTGACGATGGTGATGATGCTGGTGACGGTGACGATAATAATGGTGATGAGGATGGTGATGATGGTGATGATGATAATGATGGTGACGATGGTGGTGATGGTGATGATGGTGATGCTGCTGCTGCTGATGGTGATGATAACAATGGTGATGAGGATGGTGATGATGGTGATGATGATGGTGACGGTGATGATAATAATGGTGATGATGGTGAGACAGTGATGATGGTGGTGGTGACGATGAGACAATGATGATGATGACAAAGATGATGATAGTGATGATAATAAATTGAACATAAAATATTTCACCTGACTCAAAAATACTTGAGCAAAACTTTGGTTTGACCTGACTTTTTACACCGTCCAGATGAGGTCTTTATCACATCAACTTCCTGTGGCAGGTGGCACTGAGGGAAAGGAGGGCCGGCGTAGCTAACAGTTTCCACAGTTTACCACAATGTTAGGAACTAAAGACTTCTGTGTGGGAATACTTTCTTAGGAAATATGGTACTTGCTGTCCCTCTCTTTCTGGTAATTATATTCAATAGTATCCTCACCATTCTCTCAATGTTTCAACTATTGTGTCATTTTCCAGACCTGGAAAGTCACCTATTACATTGTAAGGCTCTTCTGAATTCTTACCCGGTGCTTCTGTGCAACTAACTTTTCCCTGAAGCAGACTTTGTAGCCTGTTAAGGCCATGACAACCCGGAGGGCTGGCTTGAGTAACAACTGGTTTCTAGGAGTTAACTTAAAGTTTTCAGGTAGATGAATTTTTCCTGAAGAGCCAGGTGCATGAGATGCTCCTGACGAGTGTTTATTTTCGGAGGTGTTGAGTCTCGGCTGCCTCCTCCAGCTCCCCTACCAGTGTGATCACTCCCAGCGGCTCTGAGTGCCGCGATCTTGCAGAGCTCGTTTACCCTGGCTCTTTCTTGCCTAATTGCGAGAGGCAGGAGGGAGTTGAAGATGCTACTTCAAGCAGAACGAAATGCCAATCCAACCAGAAACTGCAGGGAACTGACCTTAAATCATCTGCAGTGGATTTGTCATGTGCCCTAGACAGTGGAAGTGTGGAGCATTAAGACCCTGCCTGCGTGGATACATAAAGGCTCCCAAACCCATAAGAATGTTCTCAGCTAATTCCGATACTCCATCTCATGAGACTCTTCAGTGTAGTGTTTGTTCACGTAAAACCCTTACTTTCGGACCCTGATGTCAAGATAAAGTGCAGCTGGTAATATGCTTAAGAAAATTGTTCAAGTGAATATTCTATTTTCAGGAGAGAATCAGATGGCGACTGAGGAAATCCACCGAGGGAGCAAAGGTCTATCTGAAATGTGATGCATGGTTGCTGCAATGGTGCAGGGGAGAGAAAGAGCCATAAGTGGGAAAAAAGTATAGGAAAGAAGACAATATTTTTAAACCCCAAATAAGCTTCAAAAGATATATCCCAGAAGGTATACCCATGATGTAGTGTACTATTTATTGTAATAATGACATCTACAATATTTGTCATGTGGCCACGTGGGTGTTCTTGTCCTACCTGGTGAGGATGGTGACAGTGACGATGTGAGTTAGGAAGCCACTTAAATCCACCGACCCTGCAATGCACGGATATTATCATGTGTTACATGCTCTGTAGCTCAGTAGTCACATGAAGATGGGGCGTCAGGAAGTGTATTTTAGATTCCCTGACTTCCTACGGGATTTCGGAGCAATCTCTTGAGCTGCCGTCATGTACAAAGAATAGAACTGGCTCAGACGTACAGGCATTCGGTTCACACTTGTAAGATAGCTGTGTGATGTAATCATGCTATTTCTCATGGCTTCTTGTGGGAGATAGATCGGAGATTTGAACTAAGCTGTTAAACTCTTCTAAAATGGCAGTAAGGACTGAATTTTCTAGGTTATTTAAAGAACCTGCCAAGCAAGAGGAATTTGCATTAGAGTGTTGGTGAGTTGGAAGGAGAACGGTCACCCAACCACTGTGACCAGCCCGGGTCTTTTCATTAATCTCTTCATTTAGGTTATGATCAGAACTGCCCCCATGTCTGCAGGCCTTGCAGACGCTCCACCAGTCCCCCGTCCGCATGCAGGCCCGCCCTCCGGTGGGAGAGGATAGGAAACCAATGGGGCAGGAGACAGGTTAGGGGGTTTTGAACCCAGGGGCTCAGAACATGGCTGATCCTCAGAATCACTGGGGAAGTTTTAAAAGTACGGACCCTCAGACCCACTGCATCCCGAGGCGCCAGAACCTTGGGAGAGTGGGCACAGGAGCCTGCATTTGTAGAAACTGCCTGGCAGTGTTGTAGGTAAGTCAGGTTTGGAAACAACCAAATCTGTGCACACCTGCTCACAGGCAGCACGCCTCACAGGCATCTTGGCCAACGGACACTGAGTCCATTTCTAAGGACTCTAGGAAGGGAGAACCTACGATCTGTCCAGGTGAATGTTTTGAGGGGAGAAAACCCCAGGGACTTTAGAATCTCTGGAGCCACAGGCGTCCCCGGGGGTGGGGTTGTGTATTGTCCCTTAGCTGCAGAGCCCCTGAACTGGGCCTCAGGGGTCTGGGGTTACTGCAACTCATGGAACCTTTAGGGCTGTGGCGACAGCTTAGGCCAGAGTCCCTGGTGGACAGCGGGGGGCTCTGCCACAGGTGGGTCAGACTTGGTTCTCTGCTGGGGTTCACTCTGCCTTCCTTCCCTCTTAAAGGACAGGGGGCCATCTGGGCAGGTCTGTTGAGAACTTCCCTTAGGCCTAATCACTGAACAGGTGTGTCCGCGGTCCCGTACGTCAGGCATCTGTTGTGCGTGTGTGCCGTGTGCTTGTGCTCGTGTGTGTACTTGTGTGTGAGAGAGGGAGGGGTGACCCCCGGCACCATGGCTTGGGGTGTGCAGAAAGATGTACAGCGGCTCCTGCAGACCAAGCAAGGGGTGACAATCAAACCAGCCAAAGTGACCAGGACCGGCAGGGGACATGCTGGCCGGTGGAGGGGAGGCTCCTGGAGCAGCTGCGGGTGAGAAGCTGGGGGCCTCGGTGTCCAGGGCCAGAGCTTCTCCCGGCGGTGACCCCTCTGGGGAGAGGATTGAGCATGTCATGCTCTGCATCTGTGGACGCGAGGGCATTGCCGTGACCTTCAGGGTCGGGTGCCCTGGGCCTGTTCAGGAGCGTGGACCCTGAGGCCGTGGGGCAGTGAGGCTGGGCTTCTGCAGGGGTGGCTTGCAGGAGGCGGGAGCGCCCATCCCTGCTAAACGCCCCTCGGGCAGGCCCTGCCTCCAGGGCGCCTGTCACTGTCACCTCTGCCCTGGAGGGGACCCCTAAGGATCCCCATCACTCACACCCCCTCCTCCGAGGTCCAGCGAAGGAGGCACCCTGAGAGGGAGCCACCAGCAGAGTCACCCCGTCCCCACATTAGCCAATTCTCTCTAAAACAAAACAATTCCGGGGCGTTTGTGCCTCGGCAAATGGAGAAGGCTGAGCCACCTGGAAAGGTCCTCCACGTGGGGGACGGCACGCATTCGGGGTTTCTTGCCCTGGCCGATGAGTAAGGAAGGTGATGCAGGACACTTGCTGGCCGTCTGAGGGACAGACCCACCAGGTGCCTGCTTGGGGCCCTGTGGGAACCCTGGGGAGAAACACCAGCTGAAATAACCTAGGAGCAGCTTCTAATTTCTGTAGGCACATCTGCAGCAAAAATGTGAGGAAAACGCTTTTTTTTGTCCCTTCTACCTGCACCTGCCACTTCTTAAAACACCACGAAGTAAAAGACATCTCTGCCTGGAGGAGAACCCCAGGGCGCTCTGAGAACGTATCTGCTTGTTCTTCTAAACCACCGGCTTTGCAAGTTGGAATTAAGGCCGGGGAGGCCGATGACCTGGAACCGTCCCTGGCAGAGAGCGCAGTCTCGGGGGGGCGGGGCGGGACGGGCTCCCCTTCCTCACTCAGCCACCCCGACTCCGGCTGGCAGGAAGCTGGTGCATCAGGGCCTCCCCAGAGTTCTGTGGGACTTTTCCTCCTGGAACCGGAGGGCTCCTGGCTGGGTCTCCATGATGCCAGGTCTTCTGAGAGAAAATGGAAGGATAATTCCAAGTAGCTAATGGACCATATTTCACAATTTCATGTGGGGAATTAGTACCACGTAGATCCAGCCTGACGAGCGCCTCCGAGAAAATGAATTCTCACGTTTTCTGCTCTCTCTCTCTCTCAGGCTGCGCGGTCAGAAGGAACACTCTGCACAACCCCAGGGGCCTTTGGAGGGGCCAAGCCCGCTGCTCGCGTTGCCGGTCCCCCAGCCTGCTCTCCTCCTGGGGCAGCTCCCTGGAAGTTCCCTGACATTGAATACGTTCCCTTTCATGACTCTCAGTTTGACTTGATTCTCCCACTGACTTTCCATAGGTGGGTGTTATGGTCTGAATGTGTGTGTCCCCAGATTCTGTATGTTGACACCTAACCCCCAAGGTGATGGTGTCAGGAGGTGGGTCCTCTAGGAGGTGATGAGGTCATGAGGGTGGAGCCCCCATGATGGGATCAGTGTCCTTATAAAGAGACCCCACACAGCTCCCTGCCCCTCCCTGCAGGTGAGGACACAGCGAGAAGACGCTGTCTGTGAACAAGGAAGCGGGTTCTCACCAGACACCGAATCTACCAGCACCTTGATCTTGGACTCCCAGCCCCCAGAACCATGAGGAATCCATGTCTGCAGTTTGTAAGCCACCCAGCCTGTGCTGTCAGGAGGGCAGCCCGTGCTGAGACAGCAATGAAAATGTTACCGGTACCCTACTACAGGGGACTCTGTCCAACCATTCCCCAGAGCGGAAAGCGATGGACTTGGAGGAACATTGGTAAAAGCAGAAGGCATTATTTTGGACCTGCATACAATCTGAGTATTAGAGAAATAGGTTAAATTCATGCAGGGTTTTAAAGAGAGCAATTTCCCTGCACGTCCTTACCTTAGGTGAAGGCACTCACCGCAAGCCGGGATGCAGCCGGCATTCAGAAAGTGCTCATCGCTCCTTCCCTTGGTAATTAGAACACAAGTGGACCTTCCGTGGGGGGCCAGGGCCCAAACACGCCTTCAGTAACTGTGTTGTCTGTTTCTGCTGTAGGTTCCCTCCGAGCACAATGGGCCATGGGTGCCTCATCATCTTAAGCAGGGGCTGACCCTTCATCACACACAGATACTCTATTTCCCCACCCTCGTCAGATTTGCCTCATTCTGCTTCTGGAGGGGTTCACGTGTGTCTGCATGTGTCTGCGTGTGTGTGTGCGGGTGTGTGTGTGGTGTGTATATACGAGCATGTGTAACGCACACACGTAGCGTCAATAACAGACTTTCCTAATGGCACCTGGGGAGACACTGACCCCATGAGACCTGCACAGAGGAGACTGCAGTATCCTCCCCCCAGGACCATGGTGTCACCTCTTGGGTGGAGGCGACTGTCTGTGGTCACCAGCTCTCCTAAAATACCGGAGAGGGCAGGTCCTGCCCAGGGTTTTCACACCCTTTGTGGGAGAGGCCAGGTGCCTGGGGAGACATCTTTATCCTCCCCCACGTGCAGACGGAGGCAGACGCAGCCCTGGGGTCAGCTCCACCTCCACGTGGCCCGCCTCTGTGCTGCTTCAGCCTGTGTTCTGTGTCCTGGCCACAGGCTGCCTGACCGGCTGCAGCGACGGGGCCCCAGCAATTAGAGAGCCTCTGTCACGTCTCCACCTACACTGTCCCCAGAGATGAGGGCCCATTGGACCAAGGTTTTAGAGGATGCCATTCTGATGCTGCAGATGCGCTCGCCTGCCCCTCAGGGCTGCGCCACCCAGGCAAGCAGGCGGTGTCTGAGCGGACAGCAGGACACACCAACCAGAGAGGAGAGTATCGGGCTGTTCGAACACAAAGGCAGAAAGCTGGGCGCTTACGGTCCGTGGTGAGCTCGTAGGGCGAGTGGAGCCGCGCGTCTCCGCAGGGGGATGTGCTCACATAGAGGTGGAACAGGACATCTTCCCTCAGCCGGTAGCCGCCCTCCTGCAGCCGCACGAAGATGGAGCGCTCGCTGTCCTCGCGCCGCTTGCTGGGGACAGAGAGGGGCCCCGTCAGCTACGGGAGGCCGGCCGGGGAGCCCAGTCCATGTCCTGCATGAAACCTTCTGGACCAGCCGCGGAGCAGCTGGGTGAGAGCAACCGGCCCGCAGAGGCTGCATCCTCGGCCTCCCCGCTGCCCACGGTCAAGCCCATCCTTCACAAGCCCAGCGTCCTCGGTACACATGACCCCGAATGTGAGTGTCTGTGACACGGCCGTCCTGTGGGTCACGATGCTCCCTGTGTGCCCACAGGACGCTGCGCTCTACACGGCCGCCGTGGGCAGATGGTTCTCTGTTAGACGGAGAACAGGGATAGAGAGGCAGGGCTCGGCCGCCGCCCAGTGAGGAATCCGGCGCGGGGACCCCTCTTCTTCTGCCTCGGCCGTGCCCCAGGGCTGTCCTCCCCACATGACACCCCCCGTGCCCCCCTTCGCAGTGGCGGTGAGGAGCACCCCCTGCACAGAGCGGGCCTAGCTGGGGCCCCTCCCAGACCCGTTCTCACCAGTCACGGGCGGCTCCTTCCCGCCGGTCTTGCTGTTTTTACACGTTCTGCCCCATTGATGATGGATTCTGAGAGCACGCAGGCAGCAGAACAGACATTTTCTCCCCGGGAACCCTTGAGGCATCCCACCAGCCTTTCTGCTTCCCTGACTGTGCTCCTTCTGCTGCCAGGCCCCCCAGGCCCTCCCCAAAACCTCGGAGCAAACGCCTGGCCCTGGTTTTCTGCAGCCGTTGCTGGTCTCCGTCCCCTAACCCCGATCCCCTGAGGGCAGGGGCCTGGGTGCCCCCGACCTGCAGCTTGGTACCAGCACACAGCCAGCCCTAAACGTCCGCCTGGGGCCACGGTGACACATCCAGAGTTAGGGGTGTTTGGAAACATTTCTGACCTGGCAGCTGGATATTCAGGAGAGAAACCCTTCCCACGTTTGGAGAGATTTCCAACTCCCTTCCCCACATTCAACCCTGGCCGCACCATCCGCCAGCCTGGAACCAGGGGGAAACTGCAGATCAGGGGCTCAGAAATGAACTGAGTGTATGAAGGCATCGCTTTCCTGAGTCTACTCAGCACCTCTGGACCCGCCTTCCCTTTGTGTGGCCCCTGCACAGGCCATGGGCAGGCGGGAGTCGCCGCCTGAGGCCCCCAGGCCCCTGTTGCTAGTGGGTTTGAGGAACGCTGCTCCGGAGGGTGTGGAAGGACAGCGGTTCTCGCTGTGCCTACAGCCACCCGTGATTCTGCTACTGCTCAGGGGGTCGTAGAGGGAGATGCCCACCAGGGGACAGCCTGCTGCTTCCTGATGGCCGCCCAACAGCACTAGGCATCCCACATCTGGGCACGTTGCTCAGGGACTTCATTACAGAACCCCCCCCCCGCTTTAAGATGCAAACATGCAGGGAGGAGGAGGAGGCCAGAAACGGGGAGACAGAGCCCATCACTGGCCGCCTCCGTCGTGGTGCCTGGGGACCAGGTGCAGGAAGGGTTTCCGCTGCGGGGCAGGGTGCAGGGAGAGCCCGCCCCACACAGGAGGACAGGGCTCAGAGCTGCTGGCTAGGCTCGTCTGGGCACTTGAGCCTGGGGGCCCCAGGACGAGGCCTGGGGAGGGAAACAGACTCGACCTGGAGTCTGCGAGGGGCTGGTGTGCTTTCGGGGCATAGCCGTTGGCACGTTCAGGGTCGGCCGGGATAGAGGGACACCAGGCGCGGGGGCTGCACGGCCGCCCGGGATCCCTGCTCACCTCAGGTGCAGCTCCAGCTGTGCATACAGGAAGTGGACCAGCGCCCTCCTGGCCACGATCTCCGCATGGCAGTCGTTGACCACCAGCCCCTGGTCATTGATGTACTCGCCACTGATGCACTTGGTCCCCGAGGACAGGACGACGACCTGGGCTTGCCTGACGTCCAGGCCTGGTGGACAGAGGAGGCGTCAGAGCCCTGTGGCCGCTGCCCTCCCCGTGGGGCAGTGGGTCTGCTCTCCACCTCACCCGGCACCGCCCCCCCCGCCTCAAGTTCACCTGTAAATAGCCAGCCAGTGGGGCAAGAGGTACTGGGGGGGGGGGCGTGTGCACACCTGGCTCACTTGTGAGGCCGGAGTCACGCCCAGAACTCCGTTCACTCCCCAATCCCAGCCCAGTGGGGCCCCGAGTGTGTGAACCCCGATTCCTGGCCTGAAGGACCTGAGGGCCGTGTGTCCCCACGTGTGTGACCCAGACAAGGCGGGACGCAGGCCTGTGGTTGAGGAAGATTCGTCCCTTAACTGGAAGATTCTCTGACGGGAGGGCCTTGTGTTCAGGATGGAAGGATGTTTGTGAGGACAGACCGCAGGCCAGTCCCTGCCCGCCCGCCTATGCCTCTGAGGCAAACTCAGGACCATCGGCCGCCTTCCATGCGTGGAGCCAGCGCCCCTCAGAACCCCGGATTCCTGCACGAAGGGACACTTGCTTCTCTGCTCCGCTCACCTCGGTGGCTTTGCCCTGAAGCTGGGGCATGTCTCTGCGTCTGGACTCAAGGCCCAGCCCTGGAGCAGCAGGAGGTCTGGGCCCTGAGGCTCCTGTGAAAGTGCAGCCTGGGCCGAGGGCCACTCTCGACGCCCACAAGAGGCCAGCAGAGACAGCAGGACGCCCGGGCCAGCGCGTCCCTCTCTGGAACCGCCTCTCACAGGAGGTGCGGGGGTCCTGGTGGGGCGGCCCCTCCCTGGGCCCCACGCAGAGCAGGAGCCGCCTGGGACCCCGGCCTCGCTTCTGGGGCTGCATTTCAGGAGCTCCCGAAACAGGCTCACACCTGAGAACAGCGGCAGCAGCGGGGAGAGGGTGCTGAGCTTTCTGATTTGACGGCCCAGGCTCTCCGTTTTCCCTAAAGAACAGCAGGGCAGATGGGAGGTAGGTAGCGGCAATACAGCCTCCCTTCCATCCAGCAATTTCTGTCCTGAGATCCTTATGACCCCATGGGGGGCATAGGAGGGGCCATGCCCCCGCGTCCCCCTCTGGTCCCTTCGAGGGCCGCGCACAGCTGCTTCCTAGCAAAGCTCACGGGTTCGTGGTGAGAACAAAGCAACTGGCCTTCTGTTTGGCGTGGCTGTCGTGTCTCTGCACGTTGTGTGAAAGTGATATGTGTAAAAGTGATTTACTACCGCAATGTTTGCAAGTGAAATAATATGAGTGACCCAATACTGACCCACCAGTAGGGGACTGCTTAGAGCGGAGTACGTTCATCTGTATACTGGGCCCCTGTAGACAAGTTCTCTGGAGGAATAGAAAGATTTCTAAGGGATATCGTTATGTGAAAAAAGCAAGGTGTGGAGCGGCGTGTGTACACCCCACGTTGTGCTGTGAAGGGCAGGGATGTGGGTCAGGGCTGGGATCCACCCGCCCACCACCAGCTGCTGCTAAGTCAGCCACTTACTGTCTCGAGGACATGGAAGACACGCGATCCCAGGACCGGAGACGAAGGGCATTGTGACTCGCAGCACCGCCGGCAGCAAGAGCCTTGTGCCTGCTTAGGTGCCCTTGCCCGTCTCAGGCGGTGTGTGCAGGGGGCTTGCGGGTGCTGCCTGTGCTCGGGGGTCCCTGAACTTGGGGACGGCACCTCTCCGTCATCAGTGGTTAGCAAGTCCCAAAGGAAAACTGTAATCACCCCTTGAGACTGCTCCCTGCAAACACAGCCGAAGAAACGTTCCAGGGAGAGTGACCGCCCCTCTCTGGCTGGCCTCCTGCATTGCCCTCCTCAGCCCGAGGACTGGTGTGCTCCCGCCCCAAAGGACTCACCCCATCCTCTCTCCCCCACCAGGGAAACTGCCTCCCAGGACGTGCGAAGGTGACTGGGCCGGCTTGCTCTCCAGCTGGCCCACACCTGATACATGGAACTCCCACGCCATGCGTGCACCCTCACCTCCAACTCTGGGAAATCTCTGGGAATGCACTTAGTTGTTTAGCCGGGACTAAGCAATTCTTAGCCTCTTCCAACTCTGAATAGATTTTCACAATACTACATCTGACTATGGAGGAAATGATTACCAAATTTCTAAGAATAAAACTGAAGGTAAAATATACCAACCAGTATCAAAGAAACAAATACCCAAACTATAGAAACTAGAGACAGAAAAGAGCGGCATTCACCCTGCGTGCAGACCGCCCGATGGTGTGCTGTTCGATTGGTCCTGGCGCCCTGTTTTCTGGGCCGTGTCCAGTGAGTGTAATGACTCAAGCATTAGCGTTTCCACCACCCACTGGGGGAAGCCAGGCTCTTCCACGGTGTGGACTCGGCGTCAGGAGACCCTCCTCCACGGTCCGCTCAATGCTCCTGCACCGTTTCCTTCTCACCCAGGCTCCCAGCACCCCCTGGGTTTTGCACCCTGAGTATTTGCAGAGAATTTCCTGCAGTTTCACATCTAGTCATTATTTGGTCCAAGTCTGTGTTTAATTCTCAGTCTTTTCCTGCGATTCAATATTCTACTCTTCTCAGCTTTCTATTCTCCAAATTTCCTCGAGTCAGTTTGAAAGCAAGTGGATTTAAAAATGTCGGCTCAGAGCTTCCCTGGTGGCGCAGTGGTTGAGAGTCCACCTGCCGATGCAGGTGACATGGGTTC